AGAAATCAAAAGTCTCGATATTTTTTTTTCATATTTTTTTTTGGGAACAGCAGCTCCGTCACAAGTTCATGGTATTTAGCTATTCATGCGAGAGTTATGCACCAAAGCTTCAGCAGCTGTTGCAGCCCACAATCATTTTTTTTCTTCTTCTCCTTCCACAATACCTATTATTTTCTCCTCCACATTCATTATTCACACCATCTCTATCTTTTTTTTTTCTTTCTTATTTTTTATTTTTATTTTTTTCGAGACAATCAACTCCCAACTTTCCACGTCAAGTTACCTCACACAATCGACATCATGCAGAATAGTCAGCAGCACATTTCAGGAATATAAATAGTTCAAGACCAACTCACTACAAATAAAACACATAAATGTCAACCGTCATGTCTTTGTCCCTCAAATGACAACACTTCAAGAATTTAACCAGAAACCATTAACCCGAGTCATCATAACTAGCATAATATTCCAACAGACACTCAAATCATCACCGCAAAATTCCACATATAAGTCAGTTCATACCCAAACAAATCAAAAGGGTATATATAATAATCCACCACATATACCTCTCACACTAATACACCTCCACAAACTTAGAGTTTGCACAAATAAAAGAGCACAAAAAGAGGTAAAAAGGAAAGAGTTCACCTTATTAAAGAGAAGAAGTCACATCGCACACCATTGGGTTGTCTCCCAACAAGCGCCTTCTTTTATTGTCGTTGGCTCGACTTATTGCTCCACTCTCATCAAGCGGTCCATGGTGGCTTCATAGGTGGCCTCAAAGGAGGCATGAACCTTGCAGCGCCATTCTTATTAAAGATCCTCTCGTCCGGTGTCGGGTGCTTGACCGGATCTTTTCTTCTCGGTGGTAGATCATGATGGCAAAAGACTAGCCCGGGATCATGGATAAGAGGGGAAATCTCTACGACTTCCAGGATGTAAGGCTCTTGATTTTCAACATGCTCAGGTGCTGGTTGTTTGACCTCGGATAGAAGAGATGAAATTTCGGTCATGCTCGGGGCAATTAATGGAGCTTTTACGGCATTTTCACCTTCAAGTGGACTGTTATTGGGGGCCCCGATAGCTGTAGTAAATGCTACCAGGTTTTTATCGAGGGGATAATAGCAGCGAAAATTTGCTCCGTCTCGCCTTCTTCTTCATTCTCTTCGTCGCTTCGATCATTTGTCGGCTCAAAACTAATTTCGTCCAGCACCTCAAGTTCCGTGTCGCTGCTCATCCTAAGCTCTCCGACATCATCGTGGCTGGCTTCGACTAGTCGACTCTTGGCTCGGGCATCCAATTCGCTCAACACATCATCAATCTTTTCGTTACAAGCCATCAAAGAATTTTGACATTCTTCAAATAACTTCACTAATGATGGACTAACCTCTTGTTCAAGCGAAGGTTCTAAAAAATATCGTGAGCCTTCATAGTGGAACCGAGATTCGTCGTGTTCATAAGTAGGCTCATACGATTGAGAATACTGTGGATTTTCATAGAATGAATTTCCACAATCTCCCCAACTGTAATGGTCCCTATTGAAATTTGAATACGCCCAATCGTCACGTCGATACCAATTTCTCTCAGTAGCTCTACGTGCACCATACCTCTCGGACAAAAGCGGACAATCATCAGTGACGTGTCGTGTGGTATGACATAGACGACATGGTCTCCTTAAAGCTTGACGAACACTCTTAATAGCTGGATCATAGCAGACATCCTAGCCTCACAATGTGGATCTATTCTTTCTCCTCTCATTCCATAATAAGAATCGTAATCACAATTCGGGCCCCAACATGCATCCATATTAAACAAATACCACCTGCAAAAGAAATAAAATAAAATAAAAAGGGGATTAAAAGAGTAAAAGAAAAATGAAATAAAACTAATCTAACTACCAAATTCAATTAATACTAAAAAAAATCACAACTCAATTGCGCCACTCCCCGGCAACGACGCCAAAATTTGACCGCGCGTCGCGGCAAATTTAAATTTATAATGTTTTCTTAACAAACCTCTACTAATTAGTAGTAGTGGAGAGTAAGGGTCGATCCCACGAGGAGTAAGAATTAAATTGTGACAATTCTCGTATTAATCGAATTATAACTATGAAAGCAATAAAAAGGGGGATTGGCTTGATAAAAATAAAAATAACAAAATAAAATAAAAATTAAATAAAATAATAGAAGTCCAGTTTTCGGTTCAATTATCACCCAATCTAAATCTACCGTTAATCAATTTCAATGCCTTCTTTAAATTACTAATGAATTACCAACTCTAGCTAACAATAGGCCCTGTTAACCGAATTTTCTCTTACCGAATAGTTAATCGAAATAAGCTCTTCGACTAAACCTAACTACCAGACAATCTAGAATAAGCTCTCTAGATTTAATACACTAGCACCATTAATTACTAGGAAAATAGATTGATCTAAACAACGAACGCAAAAGCTCGGACCGTTTAACTTATGTTCACGCTATCCTAGAGATGCACGACCCTTAGTTTACTACTAACGAAACAAGACAATAACAATTACGGATTAAAGTCTCGAATCTAGCAATTAAATCATGGATATTCAACCTAGTTGGCCAAACTAAATCAAACACCATAATTCATAAACGTTAAATACAGATAGCATGAATCAACTCATCAACAAAAATAAATATAACGTCTAGATTAATCAACGATAAAAATAAATCATTCAATTCATAGACAAATCAAACTTAGGTGCAGGCATCCCTCAAACTGGATAAAAATCTAAACTAACATACTAATAAAAATAAAAGATAGATAAAAGAGAGAATAAAATATCTCCCTCAGTGTGCGAATGCGGCTTCCCTTCGCGGTGTCTTCTTTCTCTGTCCCTGCGTGCGTGCGTTTGTACTGTTTCTTTTGGTCTCGGTTTTTTCTCTCTCCCGTCAATAATCCTTTTCCCCTTAGGTGGATTTTCTTTTACTTAATTCCCTTCCTGTTAGTTGTGTATGTCACCAGGTAGCCTAAATAATTCCTTCCTCCTCAATGTGAGTTAATTTTTCTTTCACGGCTTTTGTTTCATTTGCCAAGTAATCCCTCAAGCAAATTAATTGCTTGCAATGTGACTTGTCAGGCTTTACAAGATTGAAATCCTCTTAAGCCTTGGTCCAATTGCTTATTGGGACTAAACTTCACGATGGGCCCGAAAGTGGGCTGATATCGAGGCCCGATTATCGCGTGAACTCTCATCCGTTGTTCCGCACACAAAATACTCTAATGCGCTGAAAATAAATATAAAATAATCAAAGCATATAGATCCATTTAAATAATAAATAAGTCGAAAAATATAAAAGTGCAAATAAATTAAACATATAAAAATACACTTTCGACGTATCATGAGTTGACTAACCGATAACAAATTTATCTTTAAACTTGGAACATATAAAATATTATTTAATGGTAAACTGAAGTTATCTTGACGAATTTCAGAATATCCAATTCCGTCAACAGGTAAGCATGAACCATCACCAATTAAAATAGAGTATGATCCACAATTATTTTGGAGGTTAGATAGAATACCTGACTTACTTGTCATATGGTTGGAGGCACCAGTATCAGAGGTCGTATCCAATGTGAGGGCGGCTAATGCTTGTGGTAAGTCATCTGTTCCCTTTGATGGATTTGGAATCCACCAACAAATTTTTGCAATATGTCCTGTTACACCACAATATTGGCACGTCTCATCTCGATAAAGATCTCTTTCAGCTTGCGAGGTGGTGGTTTTTTTGGCTGAGGGCTGAATTTTTCAGAATGAGAGAGATTTTTCGGTTGTTGTGCTATAAAACCTCGTCCTGATGATGTGAACTTGGAGGGTCCTCCATGACGTTTTTGGTGTTGTCCGAAGAAAGCCATTGGGGTATTAAATGAATTGGTACCGATGTCGGTGTTGTTCATCCAACTACGTCTTTGGTCAAAATTTTGAAGTTGTGCCACTAGTTCAGTGTAAGTGGGTCGGGGAGGTTTCAACATAGTGGTAGTGAAAGTTTCATATTGCGGGCCAAGTCTAGTGAGCAAGTATTTCTTTGTCAAGGACGGGTTTTCCGATGGCCACTAAATTGTCACACAGACCTTTGAAAGTACGAATATGGTGTGCAATGGATTTGTCATCATTCTTACGAAGATATGTGAGTTGTTGCCTCAGTGTGAATTCTCTCTCTTGAGAGTCTTGTGCGTAGGCATCTTTGAGGGCTTCCCAGACGCCGAACGCTGTATCTACTCCAATGACCAAGCCGAGTGCTTCTTCAGATAATGTACCAATTAGCCAACCCCGCAAAAGGGGGTCAACTTTTTTCCACGCGACGAACTCTTTTGTTACCTGTGGTGTGAATTGTTTGGCTTCTAAAGGGTTATTTGGAGTGGTAAATTTTGGTGGTGCTGAGCTTTCATCTGTCAGATGTTCAACCAGCTATTGGCTTTCAGCAAGGGCTAAAGCTTGCTCTCGCCATAGAGGGTAGTTTGTTGGAGTGAGTTTGAGTGTAATGAAGTTGCGGACATTTAGAGATAAAGAATTCATGATTGGTTGGGTTTGTATTCTGCTTGTGTTCACTGGCTCTGATGCCAAGATAAAAGGAAGAGAATGTCTGAGAAAAAAAAATTTTATTAAAGAAGCTAAAGGAATGATGAACACAAGCTATGTTATTTCTAACTATACAATGTCTCTTATAGAGATTTGTCCAACGGTCAAAATATTACAAAGAAGGAACAAAATCATTTTAGAAAGGAAATGATATAATCAAGGGTAGGATCTACTTGTTGCCTTTTATGTTGAATTTTCAATTCTTCCAGAACTTTATTTTAAGTAACAGAGGTCTCATCATAGGTTGATTTATTGGCCTTAATAAACTTGTCGTATTATTTAACAGTTTTCACATGCCCTTAAAACCACAACCAAGACATGTATCATAAGCTATGTACAGGAAATGCTATTTTATGTGCTGAGAGATGTTTTGTTTACTATTTTGTACAGGAAATGCTTGTTTGGTTTAGCCATAACAGATATAGCTATAAGTTACAATAAATTGTTTTCCCCTGTTTTGCGACAACATATCATACATCTTGAGGTTTCCTTAGTATACCACTAGCACTTACGGACACCAGAATAGAATATTAATTGGCCTTAATAATACTTATATCCCTTCTCATTGAGCATAATGCATTTGCAGACTTTGGAAATGAACTTGAAAAATCTTGTCAATCCCTGTTGACATCTTAAATTTCCTCTGCAGAATGCAGAAAATGGAAAATCTGTGGAGGAAGCTATCACAGTCATCGAGGCACCACGCCAATCAGATTTGATGGTAGAGCTGATTAAAACATTGAAACCAGAGGTAGTAGTCACTGGAATGGCCCAATATGAGTCAGTCACGAGTTCCTCATTTGAGCATCTTTTAGACGTCACAAGAGAAATTGGATGCCGGTTGTTATTAGATATATCAGACCACTTTGAGCTTTCTAGCCTCCCAAGTTCCAATGGGGTCTTTAAATATCTTGCTGGAAATACTCTGCCTTCACATGCATCTATCGTGTGTGGCTTGCTGAAAAACCAGGTACATAAACTGCTGTTGATGCTATGGGTGCTGATTAAAATACTTGAGACACTCACCACATCAGTGAAGTTCGATTACGAAAGGATTAAAAGAACACTTTTTTAAAACTGAAAATATCTCAATGCGATCTGTTTTCATGCTACACTTCAAGGAGATTTATTGTAATCCTCCCCAATTTTTTTAAAGCCGTATTAGTGACTCCATTTTCGATTTATGTACATAAGCTAACACTTGTTCCATGGAGTCCCAGGTTTATGCAGATCTGGAGGTAGCATTTGTGATATCAGAGGACGAGGCGATGTTCAAAGCATTATGCAAGACAGTGGAACTTTTACAAGGGAGTACTTCTATAATTAGTCAGTACTATTACGGGTGTCTTTTCAATGAGCTTCTAGCTTTTCAGCTTTCTGATCGACATCCACCAGCACAGGTTAGCCTGTCCTATTTCACTGAGAGTGAGTGAGTGCTCATATATATTTGCCAAGTGTTTTAATATTGGGAGATCAGAAGAGGCAGATAATGTATGCAAGAATACTATCAAAGAAACCCACATTATTTCAATATATTCATGGGGCACTGTTTTATGTGAAAATGTGAATCAAAAGCAATTTAACTCCCTAAATCCTCTCGAATCACTTATTAATTTCCACAGGCCTGTTCAACACAAGTAAACTACTTATTTTCTAGACCGATGATGAGTGTTGATCAAACATCTTGCATTCTAGTTCTGTTACATCAATCTAAATTTGCTATGCAATATAAATGTTCCTGGATAATCTAATGACATGCAAGATATTTTCTTATCCCCAGAGAAATACTACAAGAGCTTCTAAGACCAACGGCTTTTCCACTTCTACCATGTCCGTGCTCGATCATGCTGAGCTGGCAGTAAATGAACCCGATGAATCTGCACTGGTTCATATGGATGTCGATCAGATATTCTTGCCCATAACAACACCCGTTAAGGCCTCCATCTTTGAGAGTTTTGCAAGGCAGAACATAACGGAATCTGAAACTGACATCACAGATGGCATCAAACAATTGGTCAGCAGCAGTTATGGCTTCCAGTCCTCCACCAACACTGAACTTGTATGTGCTGACCGCCCAATTTCACTTTTCAGCAAGTTGGTACTATGCTGTATACAGGAAGGTGGCACCCTCTGCTTCCCAAACGGTACCAATGGAAGTTACGTATCTGCCGCAAAATTTGTAAATGCAAAATCCGCAAATATTCAGACCAACGTAGAAGAAGGATATAAACTGACAGAAAAAACACTCACGACTGCACTCAAGGGCGTTGAAAAACCATGGGTCTACATTTCAGGCCCCACGATCAATCCCACAGGCTTAATTTATAGCAATGAAGAGATTAACAAATTATTATCCGTATGTGCAAAGTTCGGGGCAAGAGTAATTCTGGATACTTCATTTTCGGGTGTGGAATTCAACTCAAAGGGGTTCGGGGGATGGAAACTGGGAGCTACACTGGAGAAACTTTACTCTGAAAGCTCAGCCTTTTGCATATCACTTCTTGGGGGGCTTTTCTTTAAGCTGCTAACAGGTGGGATTAGCTTTGGGTTTCTGCTCATCGACCAGCCTGCGCTGGTGGAGACATTCCATAGCTTTGCGGGCTTGAGCAAGCCTCACGTGACAACTAAGTATATGGTCAAGAAATTGCTGGACCTGAGGGAGGAGAAAAGAAGGGACCTCCTTAAAGCAATTTCAGAGCAGACTGATATTTTGGGGAGCAGATATAGGCAATTGAAGCAGGTAAATACATCTTTGCATTTTTCATTAATGGGATTGGGGATTGATGTAAGGGTACACATTCCCAACCAATGAATATAAAAAATCAATTGCTGCAAGGAAAAGTGATAATTTTTCATTAGAGCTATATGGTGTTTTGGAGAATAACTCGGGCTTTTCATAAATAAGTTAAAACTTCAGGAGTAATTTTTTAAAATTTAGTGAGAAATCCAGAAACTTGAGGCTTTCATTGTTAAGTTAAACCAGAGGTATTTTACTTTGTGAATCGTGTGTATGTACCAGACACTGGAAACTAGTGGATGGGATGTGCTCGAGGCTCAAGCAGGCATATCCATATTAGCTAAACCGTCTGCCTATCTTGGAAAGACCATCAAGATCAAGAAAGGCACAAACACCCAGGAAATTAAGCTAGATGACTCGAATATAAGGGAAGCCATGCTTAGGAGCACTGGCTTGTGCATCAATAGTGCCTCTTGGACTGGAATCCCTGGCTACTGCCGCCTCACCATTGCCCTGGAGGAAGGCGATTTTAAACGTGCACTAGATTGCATTTCTAATTTCAAAAACTTAATCAG